TGCTAAGTTTCTCTGAAAGACTCCCTCCTGTGTCATCTCCCCAGCGAGTGTTGGCACATTGTTCTAAAAGCTCGAGAAGCGTCCGCACTAATTTGTTGTTGTTTTCGACAACAAAAATGGTGCTTTAAGATGAAACTGATCTTTGCCCAGACAAACCGTTTACCATTCCAGAAATAATCCCAAGCCTATGTTAACAGGCCTCTAAGTACAGCACGGTAACCACCTTGTTGCCCATGTAAACAGGTAGCAGATCGGTTGCATGTAGGAATTTTCTCTGATAAGGGTGTACAAGTACAAGGCAGTCATAGCTATGGAAAACATGGCAACTGGAAAACTGCCTGACTCAGATGATGAAAAGGATCTTAGAGTCGTACCAGAAAGATTATGCTTCACCAGAAATGGAGAATGGAGAAAAAAATAACTACGAAGACAGAATCAATCATCTAAAATTTAAGGTCTAGCCATTAATGTTGCTTGATGTTGGTGCTGGTGACTCATAAGAACCAGTCAGAAAAGAAATTGGGGGGTCTGCATCATAAATTTCCAGAAGTCTCGATTTTAGAGGTCCTAAAACACCAGAGTAATTTGGATGTTGGGTGTAAATGCAGTAGCTTCTGCCTTTAGGGGTCACCACAGCAGATCATTTGTGTCCATCTCACCCTATCCCTTGCATCTTCCTCTGTCACACCAGCCTTTTCCATGTCCAAACTTGCTCCGAGGTCTTCCTCTTTTCCTCCTGCTTGTACTCCAGCTCCACCACCTCTCTCTTTGTCAGTGCAACTGTCTCAAAACCATACATGATGGCAGGTCTCAATACCATCATGTAAAACTTCCCTTTAATTCAGGCTGCTGTCAGTCACAAGTAAAACGTGTATGTCTTATAGCTAAAAAAGTAGCTCAGCTGTATCGCCAGGGTTGAAGGAGCCCAACATGTGGCTGTCTCACATTTTGTAAAGTAACAACAGAAGCATATAATTAATAGAGGACTAGCTCTCTGCTGCACACTCTGCCCTTTCTTCAGTATGTTTTCTCTCCTTTTATTGCTTTTTATTCCCCACCTCTCCTCCTTTGGCTTTCTCACCCTTTGTAATGGGCACCAAAACACAAAACACATTATGACCTTGTGTGTGTGTGTGTGTGTGTGTGTGTGTGTGTGTGTGTGTGTGTGTGTGTGTGTGTGTGTGTGTGTGTGTGTGTGTGTGTGGATCTTCAGCTCCTGGAATAGACTGAGGAATTGATTTCGTGGCCACATACTCCATCTCGTAAATGAGCCTGATCTGTATTGGCAATGCTTTATCACAGTGAGCAAGCTTGACTTTATGAGTCCTCGTTGTCCGCTCTTTTGTCTTTGGCAATATTTAACACACTATAATTGATTATATGATTATTATCACTATATCACTTGGAGTATACCTACAATTCAGTGTTCCTGCACATAGCCATTTTTATTACCAGAAATTCACCTGAAGTAAATCAGAATCAGAATCAGAATCAGAATACTTTATTGATCCCTGGGGGAAATTATTTTTTGTTACAGTGCTCCATTTTAAACCAACATTAAGACAAGACAGACAATATGCTAACTAAGAATAGTACAATATATACATATATATACATACATACATACATAAGTCACTTATAAATAAATAGTTGGAAAAGAAACATGTGTAAGATGAGGGAGGCATAGATAACTTACTGTTTATTTTGTGATAAAACCCACAAAACTGGTACATGTACGGCTCAATATTTTACCTCTTAGAATATTACCTTGCGATTTTTGGCCCTGCACAGGAGCTTAATACACATGTGGACTGCATGATGATGCTGAAAGTCCCCAATAGCTTTTTAGGCTTCTTTTGAATACAAAATATTCACAAGTATTAATTTAAGTTTTTTATGTTGTAAATATTTTTCAAAATTGTCTTTAAATGTTATATTTTCCTAACGTGTCTACTGACAACAGTACAGGATAGAATGAAAAGAGGTTTAATGTCCAATGTTGTTGATGTCATGATGCTGCACTGCACTCACACAGTGGTGTTGGCGCTTCAGCAGCCTGACTTGCCATTAATAGACTAATAAGACTAATGTTGCTGCGGCCAAAAGAAGACGAAGAGGTAATTTCATAACACAAATCAGTAGTGCAGATTTAAAACACAATTTAACCAAAACACAGCAAAAGTTCAAACTGTTCTGATAATGTGGGGACATCGCTGTGACTTCTAAAGTCTAAAGTTTATTTGTTCTCTAAATAGCATCAATAACGTTTGCTAATGTAGCTTAAATCACTAAATATTAACTTTTCAACCACCAGTCTGCTGGGATATCGTGGGTTTCCAGCCAAGAAAATGTTGGTCAAAATTTCTAGTCCTATTCTGGTCGAATTGGGCTTCGGGAGTTTGTTCACAGTACAACTCCAGATCCAGGTGACTGTAAGTCAAAATGATGTTACCTGTCTATGTCCAGCTGTAGTCTGTAATCAGGTTGGATATTGCTATAAACTGATATATCTTTTATTGACTGTAACATTTAACTTTTGGGTGATGGCACAAAGCTTGAGAGTGGACATGTGGTCAACATCACCAAAAAAGATAAAACTGTAGTTTCTGTTTTACCCACATTCGTTGATGATGAGTTCACATAACTGAGCAGTTTCCTGTACTGCTCAGTACTCTATGTGATTAAGAGACAGAAATAATTTTGTGCATATTTGTCATCTTATCTGCTTTGCCACAAATAGTTCTTTAACTTCTTTAATGGCTGAGCCTTTGCCTCAGGTTTGATAACCAAAGGCTCCGCCCTAAAATGGGTGGAAATCTCTTATTCACTCTGAATTATTCTTAGACATTTTGAAATAATAGATGCCACGACCACAAGTGTGAAAGATCGCGATTGCCAAACAGTTTTGTCATCAAAATATCAGTCAACACGTGCTAAATTTGCTGATATTTATCACAATATGAACAACACAGCAACCGTTAGCATGACCTTAGCTGTGCCGCAGCAGATGTGATGAAACTCATTTTTTCTTACTTTATCACTCCCACTTAAATTCTGTTTTCTTTTACTTTGAGCGCAACCCTGGCTTTATTTCACCTCATGTCATCATCAATCAAATGTCAGTGTCTTAACCCGGTGCCGTGACATTCAGCCAGGGGTGCCTACCACTGCACAAATATCTAATATAACACAAAGTGATAAGACACCTGTGACAAGACCTTTCAACTCCTGATCCTGCTTTCAGACCCCGTCTCCATCTCTCCTGCTGCGAACTGAATGCATTTCTTGACTCGATATTGTTGCTGTGGCATTACCATACCAAGTCGGCTGTTGGATGGGGAGTTTAGACCACAGTGGGAGGGGAATAGCTCTCTCGTTCAAGCTGTAACTGCTGATTGCAGACACAAAGTATACTGATGTAGAAAAATCTGTAGCACAGCAAATCCAACCTTAAGACCTGGCAATCTGTTAGAACAGATCTGCTCTTCTGCCTCTCTTACTTCTTCTTTGTGTGCAGGTTTTTCCTTTTTTTCATTTAGTTATCTGGCTTCAGCGTTAGCTTTCGGTTACAGTTGTGTTTTAGTGCTTTAGACTGTGTGTTTTCAGTCAAAGATGAGGAAAAAAACATTCCAGTACAACTTTAGGCTCACAAATTAGTATATCGTATCTTCTTCATATAATCTATACAAACAATTTTTTACCCAAGGCAGGTAACAAACAGATCATGCAGGAAAACGTCACTCCCAAACTTGAAATAGTTCAGCAATGTAACAAAACTTACAGACATATAAACTGCACATTTTTAGTGCTGCTGGTAGGTGAATCTTCTCACAATTAAAGTCAGATTTGCCGTTTTCCCCCGTTGCTCAGTGAAGCCGACATGCTGCTGCTAGAAGCTGCTGTAACAGCGCTTTCATATTTTACAGAGCATATTTTCCAGGATGTTAAACTTTTCTTTCATTTAGTCTTCAGAAAGAGCGTGCTGAGCTCATTTGCATTCAATTAGTCAGCTATAAACAGTGAATCCAAGCAGAAAAAAAAGTTCCCTGGGCAGTGAAAATAAGGAGTCATTTCCCTTTAAGGCTACTTTATGATCAGGTCATTGAAGGTATGTTAAATATATTTTTTAATCTGTATACTTCTGAGACGTGTATGAACGCAGGGTAAACACAGTCAGCCAATATCAGCTCGCGCAGCATTCAGCACACAGCCTCCTTTCAATCCCTCTGGTAAACAATCCGTGTGGGGGGAGATTGAAAAACAGCAAGAACCCGCGTCCAGATTTACATTCTAATCAGGTGACACCCCCTGTCTACTCTGAAGCACACGCACTCTCGCACACTTTCCATTATTACAAAGTTGCACACACAGAAACCCAGAACACCCGATGTGCACAAACACTTCCTTTCACCCCACTATCTCTCTATTTTTCTGTCTCCCACAAACACACACACACTCTGACCAAGTCTGAGTGACAGCACAAGGTGAGTGGATATATCTGGTAGCAGGAGGCACTGTACAGCATGTCTGTCCTTTTCCTGCTGCCTTTGCTTCTTTATCTCTCACTTCTGGAGTCGTCTCTGCTCTATCTAATTTTCAGCTATACTGTTCATTTACATGTGGGGAACAGAGGATGCATTTAAAGGGGCTCAGACACCCTGTGCGTGCCTCCACAGCATCTGCCCGTCTCGCATAGAGGAGCACCACTGTTGACCTTGTCAAGAGCTACTGCTTCATAATAACATTTCTTCCCTGGAAATGCCAGAAGTGCTGCTTCATTTGATGCGAGACACAGATTAATAAAAAGCTATTTGGCTTGCCTCGTGTTTATAGTTTGAAAAGTATAATAATCTTGATGGCTCTAGCTCTGCTTCCGATGTCACAGTGCAAATGTTAACAGGGAGCTGTTCTCAATGGACTGCAGCTGTACGCTTGGTGAGACATCCCATTATGATGCAAAAAACACTCCACTGTTATCATGACAAACACAACGAGGAACATTTCTGCTGAAGTAGTTTATTTGCTTTAAACTGTGGGAGAGAACATATTTAGATATGGGATAACTACACAGAATGACAGTGATTAGGCTCAAGCTAGCGGTAAGATGGGGAGCTGTGTCGGCAGGTCCACGGCTGATAAGATCCGTCCACTCCTGGAGCTCACGCGTCATCAGTGGGCAGACAGGCAGCTCCACTGGCTGCAACACAAGACACGAGCGGGGAGGAGAGGCAGGACCCATGTCCTGTGTTGCAGCCGTTGGCCCAGCCAGCAAGTCACCTTCAGCTCTGGCCAGCAACAGCTGATCCACTGTGGAGATGAAGACTAGGAGACACAGGGGAAGAAAATTTGAGGGAAGGGGCGGGGTGGGGGGTGGGGTGGGGTAGAGGGTGGGGATAAAGTCAGTTACAATCCATTCTGTGTGAGCGACATAAGGAGCAGATGGGAGAAAATGAGAGGAGGAGGGCGATAGAGAGCGGTGGGACCAGAGAATAAAGCGGTGACCTGAGGGGAAAATGAATGGGAGCAATAGAATGAAGGAAAATACTAATGGAGTGCAAATGAGAGCAAGAAACAGAGGCACAAGGACGATGTGCCACACCGCGGACACCAAATTTATCAAACGGCCAATAAAAATGTCCCTTTTCACCTTGTAAAGAAGATGTTGGCCTTCCTGTCTACAAGTCACATCCAGCTTGCTGGAAGAGAAACACTCCTCTGCCCCAAATTGCCTGACTAGAAGGTTAATGACTGCTAGTGCCATGGGCCCACAGAGAAAGATCTGTGCGAGGTGTCCTTATATAGACGCCCCGTGGTAGAATTGGCGCACGTCATTCGGAATAAACGTAATCACTACTTTAGCTGTGCATTGCACAGTGAAAAGAAATTTAATCTGTTGGGTGTGACTGAGGGGGAAGAATTACACATGCATGCCAGCAAACCAAATATTTATTCCATGTATTGGTCTCATGGGTAAGTGGTTTGTCATCAGAAAGGCAGAAAGCATGCAATCAATTCCCAAACTACCCCCAAGCTCCAGATATTCTCGATCATTTTCTGCTCTTCTCTCTCTGGGAGTCTGCCATGTAACAGGCATTAAAAGGTCAAACCTGAGCAAACTCTAAGCGGCGTGTAACACAAACAAAGGTCTGAAAATGTCACGGTTTCACAGATATGTCCTCATATCTGCGTCAGCAGGCAAAACAACAAAAAATAATCAAGGGAAGCCTTTTTTCAATGACATTTCTTCTAAATTTCTGATGTGCTGTGTTTCCTGTCAAGTTAAATCTCCGGTCTCCTAACCCTTTCAAAGATGCTTACATCAGCCTCACCGGTTACACCAGGCTCCTGCTTTGGTGATGCACTATGGTTTGGCAATTACACGATTATCTTTCCCTCGCCTAGTTCCGCGTATGAAAATGGGTCCAACCTAGATTCAAAACTTCAGGGAGATGAACTCAGAGGACACATGAAAGGAGCTGAAGGACGAAGCAAGCAAAGAAAGTAATAGAAAGCCAGGGGCAGAATTCAATTCATTTAACCTTTTTTTCTATTCTGAATAAAAAAGCACGTAAGAAGAAAAGTAGAATACCATGCAACTGGGACTCTGAATATTTTGAGGGAGGTAGAGGTTTTGAAGTTTGAAAGTTTTAGAGGTAACAATGTCAAATATAATTGCACAGATATTTTTTTAGGAAGACAGAAATGGCTTCCATTAACACTTGAGAACAATCCTTTTTAAGTGTGTTTTCATGAATATCTGACTGCCTACAAGTATGTATGGCATTACTGGGCACCAGCTCCTTTTCTAATCAAGACTGCAGGGCATTAATAAGACATATGACAAAAACGGTGACTACTAATGGTTGACATACTACTGGAAACTGCCCAAGGCAACTTGGCTTTGGTGAGAAAGAAGCCACCCTGATTCTACATTTAATCATTTACGTGAATTGCCTTTCATTACGGCAGCAACAATGGGTTCTGGCACTACTGAAATGACTTTGCCAGACAAAAATCCTGCAGACACAGAGTGCAGTTATTTGGAATTGTAGGTGAAATATTGATTATAGGTAATAAGTGCCATTTATTCTCCATAAACAGAACAATGATCGCGCAGAGCGTCGTCTATCCCTTCACCAAAACCTCGCCATTGGAAAAGATCCTACACTATTGAACGATTCACACAAAAGGAGGCTCTACAATGCTGTATTGTGCCAGCGCTAACAATGGTCTGGCTATTCTGATCACTCTCTGATAGGGAGACAGAATCCTTGCCGGAAGATCATGAGGAAATGGTACGAGGAAAATCTGCATACTCGATATCCTAATTTACATAATGCTAGTGCCCCTTTCTTGCCCCTGCTCAATAGACGGTTTATGCTCATTAACAAAATTGCTGTATAAACTTGCTTATGACAAGAAAAAAAAGTCAGGGCATAGCTGAAAAAATTCTGATACAGATATCAGATTAAAAATGTCAATTACCCAGTCTGTTTAATATCACATCAGCAAAGGTCATCATCACTGAGTCCACAGTGTAGCACAGATTCCCTTATGTGCATGTGTAACATGCCTGTGTACATGTACAACTGTGTCTGTATGCGTGAGGACCTTAAGAATGTAGACTGGCTCTTCAACCACCCTTTGCTTATCTAGGCTTTGACTTAAAAGAGAAAAAAAAAAACACACTGAAAACCACTCCGAATATGACACAGCACAGCCAAAGGTAAAAGAAAAAAGAAATATGAGACGTGTGATGTTTTCATAAGATATCACACCATGTACATACAAAGTGGTACTATTCTGCTTTTCCTTTCATATGTAAAAAAAAAAAAAAAAGTATAGAACCAACCCTCATTTCTTTTTATCTTGCTAGGAAAAATGAGGAGAACGCGCAGCAATTTATTCAAACATGCAAACATCCATGACTGATAGTGTTCCATTCTGTGTTTTTCTATCCAGATATGCTTTTACTGCACTAGCAGTACATTTGGGATCATTGTCATGCTGAAAAATGAAACTGTTGCCAATCAGTTGCTTTCCAGATGGTATTACATGGTGGATTAAAATCTGATGGCACTGTTCTCTCTTCATAATGCCACTGGTTTTGACAAGATCTCCAACACCACTGGCTGGCATACAGCCCCAAACCCTGACAGAGCATCCACGATGTTTACAGACAGCTGACAAATCAGAAATCTTACATTTGGATTCATTACTCCATCAGACCTGTTCCCACTGATTTACAGCCCAGTTCTTGTATTGTTTGACATACCTCAGCCTTTTCTTCCTATTTCCCTTCATTAAGAACGGCTTGTTGGAAGCCACCCTTCCACTGCGACTATTTCTAATGAGGCTTTACTGAACAGTAGATGGATTGTGATGACATCAGCCACACATAGGTAAAACGAGTCCATTCGTTCACTTTATTAGTTTGGTTTGCAGTTGCTTCACTAATATAATTCACCATTTTACTTGAACCTAACACTGATATTATGAAGCGCACGGATAGTAGCATTGTGTGGTTTTTCTAAAAATGTTTTCTGTTATATTAATTATGTTTCTCTTTCTTTGAGTTACCTGGTTTGGGATGGTGGCTGTTTCCTGTCTGGGCAAAAGGTGTGGCTGAGGACTTTAAGAACAAAATGCCTGCTCAGCAGGACCAACCATGTGCTTATCAGAAACAGGGGTGTTTTAGGTTTACTTCTGTTATTCTGTGCTTAGTTAGTATTAGTATTTATTTTTGTTTCCCCCCTATTGTGTGTAATAGGGTTTGGCCGAACCACTATAAAAGCTACCCTCTTGTGTCTTTGTAATTAGGTCAGTTTGTGAGCTAAGTTGCCCACTTTGTTTGTTTAAGTTTCTGGAAATTACTTTTTGCAGAGTTATATTTAGTTGACCTCTTTTATGGGCCCACTAATTATATTTTAGAATTTTGTCTTTTTGAACTGTTTTCGAGGGTTAAAATATAGAAAACCCATTTTGAAGAAAAGTTTTTCTGTGTCCTCTATGCCTTGGCTGCTTGGTCCCTCACATGGATCAATTGAAGGTCTAGGTGTAACTCTCAAGTCCTGTGTCTGGTTTTTGCTGGATTTTTTTCTTACTTTGCTTGGACAAAAACACAACTTTGTGCCCATCAAAACTGTTTTAACTTAGACATTTTTCACGTAAAGAGACTGTCAACAAATGATGTGTAACAAAGTGCCTTAAGATCAAATATGAAGTTGATTCTTTGCTGAATGTTGATGTGTTCATACAACACTTGTTCATCCCTTGAGTTAGGAGCATTATATATGATTGGATGATTAATAGATCAGTGTTAAATGGCTTAACAGACCAACAAAAAATAACTGAAGGTCTTTCACAAAACAACCAATGTGAAAGACCGTCAGAAAGCCTGGTGAAAACTGTTGCTGAAGACCACTTTTAAAAAAAACTACCAGAAAGTGGAGCTTCTTGAAAAATGAAGGAAAAGGCAAAGAAATGAGGGCTGGTTCAAAAAGGGATATTCCTTCTGTGACCACAGCAGCTCCATCCACCTTCTGTTTACAAGGGGCATCTAGCCAAAGACAATTTTCCCAAACAGAGAGGAGCTAAAACAGCTTGTTTCAGGCAGATGAACATAGGGGCTGCAGTAAAGCTCAGTATAACATCAGTAAGGCTTATTCTGAACTCTCAATCAAGCAAAGCTACTTTAGTTTCTGAGCTGAAATAAAACACTATATTGCCAAAAGTGTTCACTCACCCATCCAGTGACTTCCATGGTGCATAAAATCAGGCACCAAGCGTTGCAGACTGATTCTACAAACATTTTTGAAAGGATGAGTTGCTCTCAGGAGCTCAGTTAATTCCAGTGTGGTACTCTGTTAACTCTTGTAGGATGCCACATGTGCATCAAATCCATTCCTGAAATATCGAAATATTCTAAATAATATAAAGCCACTAAATATTCCACAGTTAGTGTTATTTAAACAAAGTAGAAGTTATTGGTCAAGACAGCAATTCAGTCATGAAGCAGTAGGGTATGTAAAAATCACAGAGCAGGGTCAGCAGATGCTGAGGCGCATAGTGTGTGTGAGGTCACCAACTGGTGGCAGACCTCCTTCAGGTTAGCTGAAGAACAGTGCGTATAGAACTTCATGGAATGGGTTCCCATGGCACGCTGCCACTGGACTCGGAACAGTGGGGAAGTTTTCTCTGGAGTGACGAATTACGCTTCTCCGTCTGGCAATCTGATGGATGAGTCTGGGTTTGGCGGTTGCCATGAAAACGGTGCTTGTCTAATTCCATTGTGCCAAGTGTAAAGTTTGGTGGAGGGGGCATTATGGTGTGGGTTTCTTTTTAAGAGGTTGGGCTCAGCCCCTTAACTTCCAGTGAAAGGAACTCTTAATCCTCCAGCGACAATTTCATGCTCCCAAGTTTGTGGGAACAGTTCTGGGATGGCCCCTTCCTGTTCCAACATGACTGTGTGCCAGTGCACAAATCGAGATAAAGACAAGAAGGAGTTAATTTGGTGTAGAAGAACTTGCCTGGCCTGCACAGAGTCCTGACCTCAACCCAACAGACCACCTTTGAGATGAATTAGGGAGGAGACTGCAAGCCAGGCCTTCTCATCCAACATCAGTGTCTGACCTCGCAAATGTCAGTCTGAGTGAATGATAACAAATTCCTATGAGCACACTCCACAACCTTGTGGAAAGTCTTTCCAGAAGAGTCGAAGCTATTATAACTGCAAAACTTGGCCCAATATATTAAACCCAGTGGACTAAGAATGGGATGTCACTCAAGTACATCTGCAAATGAGTGAATACTTTTGGGACTATTGTGTATTTGCAAACATATTAACATATTAAAATTAAAATTAAACATATTAAAAGGCAACATGTTTGGTAATATGTAAAGAGGTTTAAATGATTATCATTTTACCAGGGAAGTTTTGTTTACCTATAAGAAGGATTCTAGTGTTTTTCCAGGCATGTCTTTGAAGAGAAACTGGCTACAAATCCCTTTTATTATGAACAGCACATAATGGACGAAGGCTTTTCTATTCCTCACTTTTCCTCTCCTTGTTATTCTCTAGGGATACACAACCTTTATAAAAAGACCTTAGCTGGTCCCTGCTCTGGGTCCCTTCTCTTGATGTTGTGTGAATGAGCCACTGTTCTCTCGGGTTCTGGATGCTGGGATCGTCCTGATTCAAACAAACAGTGTTTGTAGAACATCTTTGTTCTCCTCAACCAGATTTGCATGGTGCAGTATTCTGTACCAGCAGCTTTGGCTCACAAACAAACACACACACACACACCAGCCACAGCGCTTATATACACAAACACATACAAATATACACATGCATGCACACACTTACAATGATGTTCTGCCTCTGGCTTGTACACAGAAAGCACACATGCTCTCATTGTCTAAAAATGGACATCAATAAATGATTATGCTGTAAGGCAATGTTTAAAAAAAAGTTGATATAAGAGGAATATGTAACAAGGTCAGATAACCAGATCACCTCCTTTTAGGTTTTCCCGTCTACAAGCGTAGTATAAGCGATGAGAAGGTTGGTTGAAAATAGCACAAGAAGAAAGTCTGTTGGCCTGTACAAGTGCAGCTTCCAGTAACAGTTAAGTGACTCAGCCTTCTTCACAAATAATCTCAGCGGAGGAAATAATCACTTCAAAAAAAACTTAATTTTTTCATTTCAAAGCAGCTTTATGAAATAGCATTTCAAAGCCACCAGACTATTGATTGTAAATGAAGCCGAATGAGCTGCCATCCTTGAAGTAATGTGTGTGCGAGTGTGTGATAATTCCCAGAAAAGCACCAACAACATCCAGCTTGCGTTCAAACCAAATTCTTGAGCAAGTGAGGCTGTGACCTTGATCTTCTTTTTCTCTCGCTCTGTTTTTCTGCAGACTATTCATCTACACTGTGGATTGCGATTAAATGCATCACAAGCTGGGTGTGTTTGAAGAGCTCACACTCTGAACGATGCATTTACAAAGGAAATGCTTCCATAACTCGAAGACAGGGTCTGCCTGCACATGCATCCGTGTTTGCACTGATACAAAAAGAGAAAACCAGAAGCACTTGCTGATTAAAAAGTAGCAAATAAGCTCAGTTTTAACAAGACTGCACTGACAAGATGACTGCACACAGAACATTTAAACAAACGCAGCCAGTTATAAGGATGCAGCATACAAACTGACTCTCTGAGTGACCTTAACACTATTAATTTTTAATTCAAGTATATAATTAGCCTTGTTACTGAATGGGCTGTTCAAGTCAGCAGAATTCCAGCTTGAGACATGTTTAGTCAAATGTCTGCAGGGGAATGCCCTCATATAACAACTGCAGACCAATTAATATCAGTAATATGCATCACTGTGTAGGGGGAAACTGCTTAAAGTAGACTCTTGAGTTGTGACCACTCTGTAGCTGACATGTGCATGCATTTTAAGCACACGTGCATTTACAGTAGCACAGCGCATTGTGCCTTTTCTCTTGAGCTATCTCAGCACTATTGGAGTTGGTGTTGCATTTCAGAAGCGATAGCTGGCTCGATAGCTCATGCCGATGCTGCTGCTGCTGCTCGGATTGGCGTTTCCCTGCAGATGCTGACAGAACACTTTGGGGGGGTGTCTCTGCTCCCCACTGCGAGGTCCATACGTGGAAGAAAAGTCCCTCTGGCACCAGACCTGCCTCACCACTGCATTACGGAGACAGGTGTGGTTCTACATGGCTCAACGAGTAGTGCATCAGTGCCGTCAGGGCTGCAGGTTCCATCCTCTGTGAGTCAGCAGAGCACAGACAATTTCAACTACCTTCTGGTGAAACTAATTCTAACAGTCTGCAAAAATGTATGCTGAAAAGCTGCCGGCAATATGTTTTCTAATGTTCTCCTGCAAATATAAATGTCCTCACTTTCACACCGCCTTCAGAGACTTGCTAACACCACAATACTGCCTGGCAGTTATGTGATCACTCTCTATAGGCTTCAGGTTTCCTGTGCCCTGCAGGAAAATTGTTACTGTTCAGGTCAGGGGAGAAGTATTCCACAAGTCTTTGATCGTTCAAGCTGAATTTATTTGGCTCATCACAGCAGCAACATTCATCTCTGCCAATTTACTGCTACATTTCAGTGTTAGTGAAAATGAAAGCAAAATGCCTACCTTCCCATCCCCGTCCAGGTCCAATTTTATTTCTGCTGCACGCCTGTAAAGAGGGGATGAGGATGTAGTCGTACTTTATAGCACCATATCAACCTCTCTGACTGTCTTTGTGTCGCCCAGTCTGACTCTCCTTCGGACTCGCGAGTCAATTTAGTCCTGCAGTGAGAGGAGAATCCCTTTATCCGTGGACTACACTTTACGCGGAAGGCACCGACTTGAACATTTCATTCTTGCGTGGAGGCGCCTGCCTGCCGGACCCTGATAAAGTGGAGATTTACTCGCGCACCAAGTGAGGAGCTATCCCTCACACTCCAGCTTACTCGGTCAGTTTCTGAAAGCTCTATGGCCCAGTGATTTAATGTCGTTTCAGCGTCTGGTGGCAGACCTCCTAGCCCCCCACTTGCCTCCCTAAACGAACGAATGCAAGCGCGCACACGCACGCGTGACCACAACCTGTGAAGATAAATAACTTCTGTGTTAATGGGCCGTCAAATTCACAACAGAAAGAAAATTGAAAAATAAAACTGAATATCTAAAACATCCGCAATGGCCGAGATAGTAATCGGTGGCTGATATAAATTCAAAGTCAAATAAAAAAAAAAAATAGACACTGTAAGATGATGCCCCAAACTCTACATTATACTGTAATATTAAAATTAAACTTCTTCAAGGGAAATGATGTTGAACTTATCAGCTGAGGGGATGTCGTCAGAGGTTATTGCGCCTTTCAGGTTCACGTGGGACCGTGATAATTTAGAGAAGGCTAAACAGTATTCCTTTGACTTGAATGTCAGTATTTGTACAACACGAAGGCTTGGAAACCTACCGAGAGACCGAATCGACATACCTGAAAAGGATATGCGTAAAACGCATCGGTCCGACAGTCAGTGCTTGGACACGCTGGGACGAGAGGGAGACTGTGTTGTCGCTGGTGGTGAATAAAATCTCTTATGTCGTGTAAAACCTCCTTGTAAACTTCTCTCTTGTCATCTTCGGTCTGTGTTCTGTTCATCAAGCGTTATATCTGACTGACCGGCTCGCTTCTTTTGATGTCGGTGGTAGGAGGGTACCCAGAGGCGCGCACTGGGGAGATTCTTCCTCCCCTCTGCCGCTTCAAAATATCCAATTTCACACACTGACTCTTTTTTTCTCCCCGCATAATTCCCTTCTGGAGCAGGTGCAATAATTTCACTGGATCCACCCGGAGTTTTATCAGAGTTAAGAACCCGAATCCATGTCGCATATATGTGTGGTTTCTTTCATGGTTTTGCAAGGTTTGCTATTGCTTTGGTAAGCTCTGAACACAGAAAAAGGGGATATTAACATATCTCATGGCCATTTAACGTTGGTAAGTCATGATATCCAATAAGCTTCAAGGAATGATGACATCAAAGGGTATCTGTTCAGTACTGGGATGACTGCACTTGCGCAATTACGTTTTGGGTTTTTGTTTTGTTTTTTACCTTAGTTAATGACATTTAACTCAGTAATTGTTGACTCCAAACAGGGCCATTACAGTCATTGATGATACCTTAGACTAAATAGCCTTTATCGTTTAAACTTCGAATTTTAACATTCAATTAATTCCCAGTGTCAAGTGATATGCGATTATTTTTTTATTGTAGTTTTTTAGTTTTAGTCTTCTTCTTCTTTTTTTTTTTTGCAATATCAAATGAGAGAATGATGTTGAAATCAATACGCTGCGCCATGTGTTCCCTAACTACTCCGTTTCCCATAATCCAATGCAAGTAACGTCAGAATCTCGCGACCGGAGGTGGCTAACTGGAACGCTAGTTAGCTCAATGCAGACTTGATGAGAATTAGAATTTTCTACAGTCGTTCCGCTGCAGCTTCTCCAGTAGTGGAAAGGACGCCTGTCTAGTCTCCACTTTGTACTTGTTAAGCCGGCTAATCATTTACGGAGGAAGTTTTTATTTGCATTCGCAGGAGAGTTTCCGTTTTCTCACGTGCATCATCAGAAAAATGGAGATTTCTCCTGAGATAAAATCAAACAGCTTTCTGCTGGACGCTTCTCTGCTGTATAAGGATAGCTGCCCGGAGTTATCGCGCTTCTACATGTAAGAGACTTCACTATAACCAAACACGAATACCACTTAAAAGTATATTTTACTTGCAGTCCTTTATTGTTGTGATGCTAGCAAGTGGACGCTAGGTGGAGGTGTTCGCCCAGTGTGACCGGGAAAGTTTCTAGCTCGACGATGATGTCAGGGAAAATTATGATTGTAGCCCCCATTATAGTTCCTTATTACTCAGGCTATAGTTTCGCAGTTATAAGGAACTATAGCTTTGTAACTGATGTCCTGTCAATCATTTTGGGATTGGTTGAGCTCTGACGTCTAACATATTAAGCCACTGTTTAATTCTCATTCTTTTTTCACACGTTAATTTAAATAAGAATGGGTTATGTGCTCGTGCTTTCATTGCTTTTTTATAACTTTTTGTGTTACAGTCACCTCGAGGATAATCGGATCACTGGTGGCTACAGTGAAACTGCAGAAACACATAATACAGTGAAGTCTAAAAATAAGATGTGGCTGCTGCTTACGTTGGTCTTTAGTGGTGCCTCAGGTGTCAATAGTGTTGAAGTTTTGGAGCATGAATTGTTGTACTTTTCCACTGAAGTTTAGCCTGCTGTAGTTCTTCTACAACAGTGACTTACTGTAGCTGGACATGAGCCCATGTGAGAGTCCCAGCCGTGGCTGCTCGTGTTTGTGGGCAAGTTTGCAATGCCTCAGTGATAGTTTCAATTTAAATGAATTACAGTTTGGTGAAATGGTTTCAATTGGTGAGAACGAGACACCTTCCTAACAAGCTCTGAAATCAAAGCACAAGGAAGTAAACAAAGTGGTGGTGGTGGTGCAGACAGTCCCTCTAATCATCGGGTAAGAGAGCCAGGCAGTATGTAAGCCTCAGCCTCATCCTTGTATGGTTGGTAAACAAACCCAAACAGAGCCCTGATCCAGCATTCCCAAGGTGTCTTATTCTTTTTAGATTCCTGTAATTAAGTCTTTGAATTTTTACTCAGAATTAAACACATTAGTTATTATAGCCACTTTATGATTTTATTCATCATTTACAGTTCACTTCTTGAACTTCAAAATTTTGGTGTCTGATAGCCGTTCCAGACATTGGTGATTGCCGTGTTGTGGTGAAAGCTGGAAGTAATTTTAAGAGAAATCCTCTTAAGCCTTTGTCTGTATGTGTGTGTGTGTGTGTGTGTGTGTGTGTGTGTGTGTATGTATGTATGTGTGTGTGTGTGTGTGTGTGTGTGTGTGTGCGTGCGCTCATGCATGCGTTCAGGCTGTGCCCACTTGCTGGTATACAGACTTTTCTTCTTTATTAGGGTTTAAATTGAGCATTAATGCATCTAAAATGTTTTAAAATGTGCATATGTCTGTGTAGGCTCTTTCCACAATCCTTAGACTGTGCATATATGTGTGGACTCCTGCGATTCGTGCATTAGTTGGGTTTCAGCCATGTCCCTGTGTCCTTTGGCTTGTCTTCTCTCTTACCTGAGCCAGGAAATTTGTGGGCAGAACCATGAATGGAAAGAAAAACAGAGGTTTTAATGGTGAAAACCCCAGTCCGGGTCGTTTTCCGGATGTGTGTGAACCCACTGCTGCTTTAATAACATTGATCTGTTCCCCAGATTCCCCGGCTATGATTAGCTGTGGTATTTGAGAACATTTTGAACACATTTAACTCTGACCAGCTGTCCAGCAGGCAGGACACAAATCTAAATGTTTGGCTTTGTAACTCAGAGACCTCACTGGTTTTATGCCAAAGTGCCTGGCAGAGAAGACACAATGAACAGCCACTGCCAAAATGTACACTTAGCGCCATGAGCTAATTAAGTGATCCGAGTGATAATATGAGAGGCAGCATACAGGAAGGAACTCATGCTACGAATGAAAGCCTCAGACGCATGCTTTGAATGCACAACTGATCAAACCGTGCACCCGCGACAGGAGAGGAACTGAAAATATTTGAGTCGGCATACATTGGTGTACGTGATCAGAGTGCATTGATGTTCTGAATCCTGAGGAATTACGACCATGTCCATGTGTTCCTTTGGGGGTTTCCACTGTCTCCACTTTCTGCAGGCCAATGCGTCACTGGAGTGTTTGTTCTGTGGGTGCGCAATTACTCATACGCTCATACTCCGCATATTTGTAGGAGATGGTGTTACTGCCTTCTGGCACAGTCTTCACCTTCTGCCAGGCCAATGACTGAATGAGTTAGTATGTATGTTTGCATGGGGCATTACACCTATTGTCGAATTCGATGTACAAGTACTTGGTGTGCTTATTGTGGCTCACGTTGTTGAATCAGTGAAGCTTTTTCCAGTAAGTTCGTAATCATAGTTGCGTGTCTGGTAACTAGACCTTGACTGGCTGTTCTGATTACCAAAACAAATATGCATGTCGTCTGCTGGACAAACAATTTGGAAACTTGTTTTGGTTTCTTGTTTTGTCTTTTATTGTCCTCACACAGGCCTCACATGGTTTTCAGTCTAGAAGTACAGCTGCAATTGCTGTGTGTTGGTTAATATTATTGGAACTCTTGAGTAATTAGTGTGGGAGAAATATATAGCAAAAGCAAGAGGGCTTCAAGGCATGATTGTTCCTTAATAACTTCTGATTGTTTTCTTCATTTTGGCTGTGACATACCACATTCCCAAAAGAAATCACCTACTTAGTCGGCCTAACAAACCTAATTCAGGACCAATGTAGTCAAAAGAAGGTTAATATTTCCATCTGCAGTAGTTTATATTTGGTGGCGTGGCTCTGTTTTGGGACCTCCCTGCCTCTCCATGTGAATATGTGGAGTGCATAAGGCAACTGAGTGTAGGCTGAGGTATCTTTTGATAGAATGCCCTATATCAGATTTACACGTAGATTTGTAGAAGGATATCAGCCACGTGTTGTCAGCTCACCCTGGGATCAACTTATATGCCACATTTGCAAAGTAAACAGAGAAATCTAACCCTCTTGTTTGCTAGCTTGAAGCAATGATTTTGTTGCCTTTTTTGTTTTTTGTTCACCAGTTGACCTGCCAACAAAGCATTTTTGTTATTTTTATTTCAACTCATATCTGCCATTTCTTGATGTATGCTCTATCATCAAGGTAAGGAAAGGTAAGTCGATTCTGGTCATCTGGACACTGTTTTTAGCGGGAGAAAACGTCTTCAGTGTGGACCTCTTCAGCCTCTTCAGAGCCTCAGCCCCAGTAAGCTGTGTAGGCAGAGATCATCCTCACTGATCTTTGATGCCCACCCAGTCATTTCGTTCTAGAAGCAGGCCTGAAATATGACAAACCTCTCATTAAAAAAAAGAATTATCCAAAGGGCAAAGAATTAAAGGTTAATCCAGATATGCTTGGATTGCATTCTCTTAAGCCTCTTTTTCATTAGTACCTACTCAACTTGACTCCAATATGCGTAGGGCCATTACAGCAAGGAGGTCGAAAGTCCTCTGACATCATTTGTATACGACACAGGCTATATTTATTGCTTTTTTTCCAGACTCGGTTACCACGGTGTTGTTTTTTATGTAGCCATTTCCCTCATCGCTGCGTTTCAACAGTACCAGTTTTGATTTTTGTCACTCTTATGAGTCCTCGAGTAACTCCACTGACTAGCCAATGCTGATGGACGCCCATGGAACTCCGGGCAAGTGGCTACAAAAAAAATATTTGGTCCTAGGTATTACCACCTAATGGGAAACCATAAAAACAGAGTTGCGTCAAGCCAAGCCGAGCTATTGCTGACTGTCCTCACTGACCACTCGAGTGCTTAAGTCAAAAAGCTACATTTATTCAAAACACTTTATGAAGCTCACATCCAGAACCGATTCTAGAATCACCAGTTATCCTAACATGCATGTCTTTGGATTGCGGCATGAAGTTCAAATTCAACCATCCAGGAGATTTGAACCCAGTCTTCCTCCTGTAGGGCAGCATCACTAAGCATGGCATCGCTGTCTTGTTAAATTTGTCACTGCATTTTTTTCCTGCTGTTTGTCACCACCTTTTAAAGGCCTTTTTCCCTCTTCCGTTCCCTTTATCCAACACTTGCCCTCATTTCCTCTCGTACTGTATCACTCCTGTTACATCTTCTCTCAGCAGGAGCAAATGATCCTCAGACTGAGAAGGACCTGCTGGCCTCTTTCGCTGTAAGGTCCAGGTGATGAATGAAACCATGTGAATCGGTGCTGTAGAGGGG